TTGATCCTTCTGTGAACTGGCAATCCTGGAGCAAATGTGTTCCCTTGCATATGATACCGCAATATGGGAAAAAGAATTACTTACTATGCATCTGTAGGGCTATATTATATTTTTCTTGGCCTCCTCTGCATTCATCTGCAGAAAAATCTTAAATATGTTCCTCTTTTGCCCGTGAGCAATAACTACAACTTGATCCATCTCTTTGTGTGTATTGTTAAAAACGCAGAACATCCTCGAGTCTCTGCTCAGGCAAATACAGTATCAGTAAGCAGTCTCCATTTCTACTGGTTTATAATACAGCTTACTGAGTAGCTGAAAACTGATCTGCTCTTTTCTGTTGCTGCTGCTGCTGCTGGGTGTGCATTGCCTGTTGACCAGTTGGTCTTCTGAAAAGTAAGACTCATATCTAGAAAGATGTTTCAGGTAGCACAAAAGAAGCAATATGTTTGGCTCCTTAGCTTCTCAGACAGAGAGTTCCTCAGATTTGATAGCTATTTCAAATTAATCAAAATATATATAACTTCTTCACATCATTCATAATTTACTTTTCGGTTTGAATTTCATCATGATTATGTTGCTGCTCTGTGTAGTGGCTGGATGTGAAAAGACCATTATTATCTCTAGCCATGCCAGATGATATGAGAACACAATCTCAGACTGTCTAATTTCATCTGAAAATTCACTATGACTGTGTTATCCACTAAATTTTTTGCTCCCTGTTTGCACTATTTCTTAGTAACTGTGGAATACCCTCAATTATTGTAAGCAGAGAGGAATGAGGGAAATCCCAAGAAAAGCATCAAGTGATGCTTATGATGTTAAGGTAGGACAACAATGTTCCAATAGTTACCAGGCTACATTTCTTTCATCAGATTCCATGTGGTGCTTTCAGCTGAAATGAGTGTGCATCAGCCAAGGTATTCCTGAAATGATTAAGCCCTTTATCTCCCATGGACACTGGAAGTAGAATTTGGTTTGATGTGCAGAACAAAGAATCAGTAGTGAGCAACACTTAGCATCTATTTCTACATTATTATTTTTTCTTCAGGGGAAAAAAATTGAGTCTTGAGATAAAATTGTTACGCTCAGGGTAAAAGTGCTAAAAGTTGTTGCATTCACATACATAGCAGTCAGAAACTGTACCAGAAAATCTGGTATTAGAAAGTTTAGATCTTGAGTCTGTAAACTATAGATATAGGTTGCTGAGTTCAAATGGCCACAAAAATAAGGCTGTGTGTGTATGGATTGATTTTGAATCATTTATGATCTGTCTCTGATAACTCTTCCTTTATTAGAAGATTTACTCAGTTTTTCAGGGAAAACAAAACAGTAGTGAACAAGCTGCTCAGCACTTAGATTTTTCCTGATCAGCTGATAACTAGACTATGAAGTTCATTTAGATTATTAAAAATGCTACCAATTTTTAAAATTTTATCAGAAATTCTACTTCAAATGTTTTTGCAAGGGGTAAATATATTTGGGAAAAAAATCACAAAGGCTTACATATACAGAGAGCATGGTAGAGAGATGAACATCATATCTCATTTTTCATATTAAACAAACATAGAAAAGATAAGGGATGGTGGTGGCCAAACCTGTTACTTTTAATTTTTAATACTGAAGGGTTCAGTTTGTTTATTTTTTTTTGAAGATTCCTCACTAAAAAGCAAAAAAGCTTTGGAAATGATGATCATAATTCTAAAATATTAGCATTAGAATTGGTGGGTTTGTCTCAGGAAATTAGATTTGCTTTTATTCTCCTGTTTTGAGTAGCTTAAGTTCTTCTGAAAAGGAAGAATTACAATGGTTTTAGTCTACTTTCCACAAGAGAGATGGTGTTGATGTCTATAAGTGTCACAGTGAAATAACTTCTTTTAAATTCTACTCATTTGTAAGAAGGATTCTGTCCTGTAAGAAGATCCTGTCTTTATCTTTTTTTTTTTTTTTAAGTCTATTGCTTGTAAGAATTAAAGAATTTCTTTTAGATACATAAATTTAGCTGCAATAAGGAGATGTGATTCTGATCACAATGACTCTTTGCTACTCCTCCTTCTACTTTTCCTCTGTCTCTCCAGGCTTTTTTTGGGAAACATGCTTTGGGGACTGCCAGAGGAATGAGTGTAGAGGACTATGGATCTTGTTTTGGCCTGACTATTCATCAACAAGTACAGCAGCTATAGGGCACATTGGCCAGCTAGCACAATTTAGGACAGTCCTGAGGTTGCTCAGAACAGCACTGGGGGTAACCAGTCCCAAGAAGGACTCAGGAACTGGGACAGTCTCTGTCACCACTTTTCACTACTGCACTAAGTACTTAAGCCAAGGCAGCAAAATCTGGCAAGTGAAAAAATCTGGAGTGCTATAAATGTGTTATTTTTAAATAGTCACTTTTAAAATGCATAGGATCAAGATCTCCTTAATAATTTCCATTGATATTGCATCAGCTGCAGAGCTGTTTTGTTAAGATTGGTCATTCTTTCCCAACTTTTTACTTTTCTTTTTTTTTCTTTTTTTTTGATGCATTTTTTATGAAGACTAAAACTAATAAATTAATACATTTTAAGCTCAAAAATATGCATGACAATATTTTAGTTCTACATCCTGTATTACGTAAGTCATTGAACTTCATCTTGTAATTTTATCATTGAATCTTATAACTTGCAGCTGAGATAGAAAGTACCTTTTAAAAAGCTATCCAGTATTGATTTAAGGACTCCCACTGAAAAGGAATCAACTATGTCCCTCAGTAATTTACTCCAGTGATTAATTACCCTCCGTATTAATACTGTGCATCTTATTTTCAATATCTCTCTTTTTAATCCAACATTTTTGGTGGGAACTTTTTAGAGTAGGAGACTTTTTACACTGTTCTATGGAGAACTGCCCTGCACTATTCATCTATATGAAGCAAAAATAGTGTTACTCCCTTATTTCTCCCTTCCAGATGTAACAGTTCACCAGTAGCCTTTTGGAGCTCATTGAGTACTACACACATACCTTTAAATAGGGGCTCAAGTATGATATAAGCCCATATCCTTACCTCTCAATTAATGCCCGAGAAATACTTACTTTTACGTGGGGTCTGGAGAGTGAGCTGTTGTGTCAGGGGGGCTAAGACTGCAGGTACACTTACTTCCTGGCCTGTATTAAGTAGCCTCAAGGAGGTAGAGGTTAAGTCCTTCCCCTAAGTGCATGTCTGAAAATAATGTGATTGTACTGGTAATTTGTAGAGAACAGAGTTTTTCAGGTAAGGTTTTTCATGTATTTTCATAGAAGTCAACATGGTGATGGAGATGACTGGAGGGTATCAGCCTCTCCCCCTAATTATGAAACATAATTGTTAAAAGGAAATCCAAACCTTTGCTTATTTGCAGGCTAAACTGAAGCAGCAAGAGTAGACATTGGTTAAGAATTGGTTGCATCGCTTTCAGTGCAGACTAAGGTCTCTTGTTCACAAATTAAACAGTACTTTTGGTGTACATTTTTCTCTTCATTTCTTCATCTCCAAATGTGCTTTAGTCCTAACCTAGAGGGACCACCTGTGAGCGAGAGGGTAGTTTAGTCTCCATGCTTATTCACTCCTTGGTCTCTCTGCTGAGACTGTCAAGCCAAGAATGCCAATTAGTTCAGCATTAACAAGCCCCTTTATGTGTTCTATTGGGCCTAAGAATTGACAGCCTCAATTCTGAATTTCCTCGGTTATGTGGATTTATGTTAAATTCTTGTTTCTCATGAAAATGCTCTCAAGCCTCTAGTTGGGCTGTAACTAATTGTTTCAGAATTAAAAGTGGGTGCAAAAGAAAACCTGGTCAGGTTACCCTTGGACTTGGATACACTATCAAAGCTAATCTGTACAGATCCTGCTTAACCGTGTTTACAGTGCTCCTCTGAAATAATTTTTTTTTGTCTAAAACTGTGAAAGGTCTTAGTTTTATATTGATGGACATGCATGTGCTTGATCCATGAGCAAAGAGTGGGATTTGAAGCAAGCCCTGTTCAGAAACAGATTTTGAAAAAAGGAAAAGAATTTTAAATCCATGCACTATATAAACTGCCTTGTACCTTTGGTTCAATGTTAGCCCATGCCTGCAAAAGTACTGCGAGTGCTGGATACTTACAGACTACGTAGGGTGGTTGTGCTTTCTCCTGTGCTACCCCACACACTTAGGAAGAGGTATGGCTAAAGCCCAGAAAACCATGCTACCTCACTTTTAGTATTCATCATACCCTCTTAGAAACCTTCATCACAAGAACTCTGAAGTAATAAAAAAAAAAAAAGGAAAAGAAAATGGCAGCAATTAGGCTACTTTATTGCAGAGATCACAGCATGTCCCATTTTCTCATTGCTTCCCAGTGCCAAGCCCTTCCACTGAGTTCCTTTACTAGGTGTAACTAGGAGTGAAATTTTGTTTTGCATAGGTTCTGACCCCTCCCGGGGTAAAAGTTTATGACATGAATGGCCATGCTTCACAGTAACACCAGCATGCAATAGTCTATAAGCACCTGTGAAAAAAAGGCAAAATCAGAGAGATTGTTTCTTATTCTGCTTTTCCATTGACTGTACAACAGTAGTCAGCATGCCTGAAAAATGTCTCCATGCACGTTGTTTATAGCCCTGTTGCATTAGTCAGCTTCCTTTAATAAATCAGATACAAGTTGTGACATGTTGTTAATTCGATCACTAATAACCTGCTCAAATTGCAAATCTATGTCAGCAGGTTGGTGTTGATTAAGTCATAGTCACTACTAACATATTGTTTTAAATGACTGATAAATTTTATTTGCTGCGGTGACAGACTGCCTGCTCTGCTGTGTTCGGTTGTGGCTTGTGGGCGATTTTTGTTGTGGGGGTCCTTTTGGTTGGTTTTTTTGGATTTTTTTTTTTTTTTTTTTTTTTTTTTTTTTTTTTTTTGTCTCCTTGTAAGCTTAGCAAAATGACACAAATGGCCCTGAGGTGGTCCTCTAAAGGCCTTTCTCTTCCCCTGTTTGCTGCAAAGAGAGCTGGTAGCCACTAGAGGGGAGGAGACTGCCGGCTTTACTGAGCGCTCCAGCTACAGCTTGAAGGTGCAGAGGCTGTCACCAGACTGGTTGCCCAACGAAATGGTTTAAAATATGTTATGAAGGTTAGTAAAAAAATAAAAATAAAATGTTTTTCCCTCATGCCCCCACTTCCCTTAATGCATTTTAAATATTAACTGCTCAGTACATGGGCTATCTTAGGAGGGTTTACTATCTCAGGTGATAACTGGGGGAGGGAAAAAAGGACTACGGTAATAAACATTTAAAATGTTACGTCTGAAGGTAATGTGTTAAATCTTTCAAGGCAAATGTTTAATTTTCTATGCAAGGATGCTGGAAAATTAGGGTGTAGTCTAGGAATAACAATCATTTATTTCCTATGTGAAATGAGAAGTTTTGATTTTATGTGTTCGAAGTTTCCAACCATTCTGTCCATTCCCCTCTTCCCTACCCCCCCAATCTATTGATGCTGAAGGAACGTCTAAACTAGTAGAAAACTTAAGTATCATTCTTACAAACTTTTTGAAACATAAGGTCTGTGTTACATGTAACCAAATCTAAGCCAGAATAGCAGAAAATCTCATTTTGTCATCTGTGGATGGAAAAATATATATTTCTTTCTTTATATGTACAGTTGACCTTTTTATTTTATTTTTTAAAACAGAGTAAAATTCTTGGTATTGTTAAAGAGCTATAATGTAGAACTGTAGCTTGTTACACTTACTCTCCTGAGTGTAATTGCACTAAGATCATTCAGTTTCCATTTGGAAAGCCAGTGGCAATTACTGGAATACAATGTATCATGCATTTGCTCACTGGATATAAAACGTATATACTAATTCGCAATAAAATGTAACAGCTGTCAGTGCATTTTCTGCTCTGTTACTTCAATAAATTGGAACTCTGACTAGAAAATGGGAATATTGCATTTTTACACACTCCGTAATGTGTTTGCTTTTTGCAAATACAATTTATTTTTTTCATGACAAAAATTGTGGTTTGTTATTACTGCTAGTGGATAAATATTCTTATATCAGAATGAATTACACATGGTATCTGTAAAGAAGTAGTAATATTTTCTGCTTTTTATTGTAGCCTGTCTCCAGTAAACAAAATGCACTTAACCTACTTCTGTCATATATTGGGTATTTTTTTTATTTTATTTTATATTTTTTTTTAGCATTGCAATGGTTGAAGGATGGCAGGAGTCTATTTTACCCTACCTTTGCAGTTATTTGAGTAACTGGTTAACATTTTACAGGAGACTGTTATTTCTCTCTTGGATTTATTTTTATTTTTATAAACATATATAGAGATAAATAGTTCTGGAAGACAGTTATTAACCATGACTCCTCACATTATGAACTAGTGCATCTGAGTTTTATTTAAGATAAAATGCCTGCACATTTGTGTAATTTTGTTACTTGAGGTCAGACTTTTCACAGATAATTAGCCTTTTACACACTGTGAAATCAACCTGCATTGGTTATTTGGCTAGACTCTTTGCTTCTGTTCTTTATTTCCCAGAAGGTTAACGTGCTGAAAATCTAGCTGCAAGCACATAGTACTGTCTCTTTGTGTTGCTAATTATCCCGTTGCATAATTATTAATATCAGGAGCAGGAAGAGGAAACAAGCACACCAAATAGTCATGAATGCTAGTGTTCTGGCAGGAAGCTAGTCCTGCATTAATAAAATGTGCCTGTGCCAATATCACAGAAGATAGGAGCGTTCCTTGTTAAGGATCATTTATTAACTGAGATCATCTTTTAGTTCGCCTTGGGGTAATGACTAATGTCAATGGCAAATTTCACAGTTGTCTAGAGAAATGAATTAAATTTGTAATAAAAAGCCCTTCGGCTTGTTGTACATGTTCATTTATTGGAGTAGTTGAACTAGGAGAACTGTAAGGCAACCAAGAACATTGGCTTAATTTTCCTTACATATAATAGTGACCTTTAGCTTCATATTGAAAAAGTTACCTATTATAGACTGGTAAATTAAATGAGAAGTTCCTCTAATGCAAAATAAACTAAGTGACTGAGCTAAGTTAAACAGCCCTTGAGCTTATGAGGTTTTTGGCAGAAACAAATTCTTTTTTTTTGCTACATCTGTTCTGCACCAGGCTTCTGAAGGTGGTTTGGTATCTAATCAGTCAGATAAAACATTACAAACTGGGATGCTAAGAAGTAGTTAGAAGCCCATCCTATAGGATACCAGGATGATTACAAACTTGGGACAGTACAGTGCCAGTTTTCACACTGAAATTGTGGTTTTGTTTGAAAACTTTCAAATGCTCTTTATACGTTATCTTTTAGATAAAGTCAAAGCAACCTGCATCCACTAATAAAAAGGGTGTGTTGTATTTTAAATATTGTCACGCCAGAGAACAAATATGAAATTTACAGGAAAATATCAAAATGTAAAGAGCAATGGCATGCACCACAGCAAAGATTGAATAAGAATTATAAAATTTCTCTTTTCCTGGGTCAAAGAACAAGAGAATTTTTGATTTGGAGGTATATACCAATATATTTAAGTGTTAGGAAAGATGATAATCCCTGTCCCACCACCAATTTAATACAGACTCTATCTAACAATTAATGTGGTGGGTTTCTCTCTTTCAAAGAGAGACGAAACAAGAGAAAGCACAAAAAAAGGTATGGGGGAAACCCCAGCAGACAGCAAGAGAAAAATACTGTAGCTGTTGAAAGAAAATGGAGGTGGGAATACATTTATAAGACATAGTAGGGCTCAGGATGTGCCTTTATGGTGACTCCCTGAAATCATACTGCAGTGCTTGGAAAAGGTCAAAATCAATGCAAGGGTGCTGTCTTACTCTGCATATTTTTTAAAGTTCATGACAGAATTGCAGCACCAATGTTTTTAAAATCACTTTCCTGTTTGTATAAATTCTCCATTTAATTCTGTGTAGTAGGTGCTTTTGTGTGATATGGCGCTGGAATCCTGTGTTTATTTCCATCAAATTTAATATGACAGTCATTCAGCTTATTTACTCTGAAAGTTACTGAAGTTTTAAAAGTTCTGTAGATGTGAAATTTTCTTTCTGTTCTATTCAACAACATAAAATGACTTTTGGAACTCTAGTGATTTTAATGGATACTTTCCCCATAAAATAATATTTAAAATATATTTTATGTGAATTAAAGGATGTTCTTATTATAACTGATGAGGCTGATAAAAAAAAAAAAAATGGAGTGACTAATAAAATCATGGAAATACCACTGTCAGTATGAAATCTTAATGGCTCCTAGTGCAAACCCTAAGTTGTTGACAGACGTGCAAACATAAGAAGTTTTTACAAAATTTTGGCAATTCTTGTCTACAATATTGTTGTGTGACCAAGTCAAGAGTGAATTCTTTCAAATATAAAATTAGGCTGTGGAGGAAAGGTTATAGTCAAGTGTAATATCCAGAGATTGTAATATATCCACAGGGAGTCAGTGTTGCCGGGGATCCTTTTTGCACCAGTCAGCTAATGGACCCAAACTAGGGAGGCAGAAAATAGGGAGTTAAATGCAGAGGTACAAAGCTGCTAATGGTTACTGTTTATTTTTTCTGACAGAGAAGGTCAACTTTAATTTTGTATCTGTCACATGCCTGAATTCTAATGTATCATGTTAGCAGCTTTTAAGAATATTCCGGAGATGGTTACCAGAAGATAATGCAGAAATGAAGCATGGTGGCATTCGTAGGTGGGGGAGGGAAAGAACAGGCTCACGTTGTCCTTTGGTGTAAATCATTGTTAAGTTTAGTGGGACAGCTATCTTTCTTTCAAGTCCAGACTAATACTCATGGCACTGACAGGATGATAACTAATTGAAGAAAATTTTCACCTATATGGCTCTGAGTAAAATCTAAAAGTTTATCTTTTATTCCATTTTGAAATCCAGAAAAAAGAACAACAAAAAAAACCAACTTGAGAATATCTTTTTCTTAAGCAGTAAAAAAGGGTTTTGTCTAGCCGTATGTAGTGAAATTGCATTTTCTCACTGGCAAGAATGTATAGTAGAAGGAGACTTTCATTTCAAAAAGGCTCCTCTAAAATACAGCCATTGAAAGTTGTGAATATGGTAAGCAAGCCCTGTGTTTTTAAAATAAATATTCTAATGCCTGTTCAGAATGTGGGCATGGGCATGTATAAAAAGTGTGGTTTACATAAAGTTTTCAGTATGTTGATTTAAGTGGGTTTTTGTTTGTTTTTTAAGGAAAGAAGAAAAAAGTGTAATCAAAGCCAAAACTTGATCCGAGTGACAAAAAAAATTCTAATCTTGGAGTTGATAAAGACAGTGATCATATACAGGTACTGATAAATTTCAATATAAAGTCCTATGAAGAAAACGAAGAAATATTTTATGTGTAAGGAAAAGGAGAGTAACTCATACATAATATTTTTTCACAACTTTTTTTTCTTTGCTAGGTGGTGTGTGACCAATAATATAAAACGTTTTAAAAAACTCAGTGAAAAACCAATGTCCTTGCATCCAGAAATATGAAAGTGTATAATTATTGCACAATTAAATAAAATTATGGAATATATATTTTCTTAAAATTCAAGTGCTGTCATCAGCATTTGCAAAATTAATACCTAGTGTACCTGCAACACATGTCAAAATGTTTCAGAAATTTTGGTGTGAGGAATATCTGAAATTTGGGCTATTGTTGTACAATATGTGATTTGTGCCAAATATGGATTTAACAACTAAGTTTCAGAATGCTGGCTCACTTTTGGGGTTTTGTATTATTTTATTCTTTTTACACAATTCTATTAGCCCTTTAGGAAAAGATCTTTCATCTCTGCTCTGTTTCCTTAAACTTAATTTTGTATTTTCAACTAAGAGGCATATTTTATTATGGATTTGTTTTGGTTTTAATTTTTCCACCTTTGTAAACTGTATTTACTTTAAAGTATTTACTTTTTACAGCCTTAGCTGACCAAGGAATACAGCAACATAGGAGAAATAAAGCAGATATGGGTGGGGTTCTCTGAAACAAATTCATTTTCTCTCTGTGCATTTCTATGCTGTGGAATAGACTTTATGCTTATTCACACAGAGGGAGTTTAGAAATGTTTTTAGAAAATG